AAAATATATATTTTTTTTATTTTTTTTTTATTTTGAAACTTTTGGGCATGTTTTAATGGCTTAGTTTATCAATTTCCTATTTATATAATAGAGGCGACGATGAATAAAAACTTGAAAATAATCTGATATTTGATTTGATAATTAATTTGTTAAATTTGATAAATTTGGTTTATGAATCAAATGAGTGGAACTTAAGTTAAAAATTAAGTTCGATAAATAAATGAGTTAAATTTGAGTTGTGTAAAATTTGACTTGTTTTGTTTATAAATCAGCTTAACATATAAATATATAATTTATATAATTAATTTTTTTATTTAATTTTAACTTATTAAAATTTTAAAGAACCTTCAAAACCTAGTTACAAGTTAATAATAATAAAAGAAATAAATGGTTTAAAATTTTATGGTTATAGAATATGTTCTCAATTATTTTATTAAATGTGAAGTAGTTTTTATTTATATAGAATGTGAGTGTAATTATGTTTTTTTTGGAGTTATACATTGTAATATTGTAAAATTAATAGAATAAGATATGTTTTGTTTTTTTTTTTAAAGTAAACAAATATTTTATCTAAAATTTATTATTAAATTGAATTTTTGAAATATATAAGATTAAAAATTATTTTTTTTATCCATTTGATTTGAATTAACAAGTTGAATCAAATTGTTAATAAACTTGAATCAAGTCAAGTTCGAATTAGAAAAAAAAAAGTTCATGTTAAATGTGAGTCAAGTTGCGAACCGGATCAAATATTATCAAGTTGAATTGAGTTAACTCGGTTCAACTTGATTCATTGTCAATCCTAATATTGACTCATCAACTTATCTAGTGAATGATGATTCTTTTAATCCATATCTAAATTGAATAAAGTATATTTTTTCATTTATTATTTATGAGTGTGTCAACCTTCTTTATCTTAGTTTAGAAAGTTCAGTTTGCTTTAACACTTTAATAAGTATTTATATTTTTCATTTTACTTTTTACTTATTTTATTCATACAAATAAGTTTATATATGAAAAAGAGCATAAGAAGTTAGAGCATGTACATAAATTTATTATAAAATATAATAAATAATAAATAAAATATATGATAATATTTATTATTATTATTATTTTGTTTTCAAATGACTTATAATATTGAAGAACAGAAAAGAATAGGAAAACAATAAAAATATGTTTCTTTTTCTTGTTTAGTATGCTTATAACATGAAAGGAAATAAACAACTCAGTGGAACCCATGATTTTTTATTTCATTGTAAAATGAAAAGAAAATAAAAGACAAATTAGTTTATTACACCTGAAAGATTAAACTACTTTTCATTTTTAAACATTTTTTTTATCAAAAATATTTATGTTATTTTATAGGTATTTTTTTTTTCTTTTCTTTCACTTTTTTATGCAACCAACAAAAAAAATTATAATTTTATATTTCTTTTTTTATTATCGATGAGCGTTTCTAGTGAAATACAAAAATAATCTTTTTTAAAAATTTGATAAATGTCGTATATATAAAAAAAAATTATAACTTTATATATCATTTTACTTTTAACTCTCTTTTCTTTCCTTTCACTTTTATTTTTTGTTTTGGTGAGGGAGAAGAATTGAATGAAATAAAAGATGATATTTTTAAATTAATTTGATAGAAAATAGATATAAAAAAATAGAATGAAATTATGTGAAAAATAGAGAAAAATTTATATTTTAAAATTACATTTTATATAATTAGGTTTTTATGTAAAAAAAATTATTTATACAATTATATTTTTATCTTTTACTAACTTTTTTCAAATATATAATTAGACAATAGTATAGGATAGTTTTGTCCAAATATTTTCTTAAAAAAAATCACAAAAATTCACTCATAAGAGAGTGGAATAAGATTCACATGGTCTTTAAACACACATATTCCTTGATAATTTTTCCTTTTCTTCTTCATTTCCTATTAAATCACCTCTTCCAAACACAACATAAGAGCATTCTCAATAATAAAACTTATTTTGTGTTTTTAGTTGTTTTATTTTTACTCTAATAAAATAATCTAGATTAAATTCTTAATCTACTTTATGGATCTCACATTTTTTTACTATTTTTTATTTAGGTAAAAATAATAAAAATATTATTTTATTGATAAGAACTGATGTTTGAAGGTTCTTATATAAGAATATTTCTTACACATTTCATTCACATCAAGATGCTTCAATACTAAATCTTATAAAAATCAATTCTTATATTTAAGAATGCAATGAAGAACTCCTATGAAAAATGACCCAAAGTAAAAATTGAAATAGGTCAGACTGCATTAGACTCTGAATATATAGGTCAGACTTGTTTTATATAATTAAAAAGTTTGATCTATTATTTATTATATATTTTTTATAGGTCTAAGTTTACCTTTTAAAATTTTTTAGTATGATCCATTATTCTATTTAAAAATATATTTTAGATTAATAATGTTAAATAGGCTAATAAATTTAATTTAAATAAATTAAAATTTATATTTTAAAATATACATGTGAATATATATATATATATATATATATAATTTACATGATAAGTGTATTTTAATTTGTAGGATAAACAAAGAGTTTAATGAAATTTAAAATTAATTGTAATATCTATTATTAGAGTTTAGAGTTTAAAATAAAAAATAAAAGAAATTGATTTCTCTAAAGTGAATGATGCACTTTAGAAAATAAAGTGCAATATTAATCATTGATTAAAAAATTAATGATAGAGAATTATGATAAAATCAAATATATGCATAATAAAATTTAAAATTAATTATAATATTTATTGTTAATTTTTTAATTAACAGATATTATTATAATTTATTCTCTAAAGTGCAATCTCCTCACTTTTAAGGAGTCAAATCCAAACTAAAAAAATTAAAAGACAGATCATGCATACCACGTACATATATACACAAACTTTAATGAAAGAAGATAATTTTATTAGAAAAATCTTTCTAAATATTTATTGTATCCTAATTGAAGTATTTTAAATGACTAACCATAAAAATGAAGGAAAAAAAGTAAGCGAAGATTCAATTACTAACATTTTTTATTTTTGATTTCTTATTTTGTATGAACAAAGAACTTAAAAATGTTTAAGTGTAGTAAAAATGTAAAAATAATTAATAATTTTATTTTTTATATTATAAATTTATTTATTTAATTACATAATATACATAACTTTATTATTATTTCATATAAATAAATACATTATTTTATCAAATTTAACATGTTTTTTTTATAAATTTAAATTTTAAATTTCTTAAATAAACATATATTTTTTAAATTTAAATATAATTTATTTTTATTAAATAGATGGAGTCAAATTTGAAACAATCTAAATAATAAATATCTATTTAAAGTTTGAACTCTTAAAAAAATCTAAACTAAAAAAACAAAAACAAAAACAAAACAAAAAGGAACCCCATGCAAGAACGGATCCCAAGTTGACCCGATCCGCAGACCCGATTCCAGTTGCACGGTGAAGCAAGTAACCCTAATGCTATTATGCTATATGCTTTTCTTCACGTTCTCACCACACGCCTCTCTCCTTCTTCTTCGATCACGCTCGCCTCTCTCTTCCTTCCAAAAGGGAAAACACAATCTCACTCTCACTGCTTGAGGCGCCATGGCGGATCGATTGACGCGTATCGCCATCGTCAGCAACGACAGGTGCAAGCCCAAAAAGTGCCGCCAGGAGTGCAAGAAGAGTTGCCCCGTTGTCAGAACAGGTAAGATCTGATTCCATCTCCCAAACCCTAATTTTGTCTCTTTGTTAATTCTGAAAGGGTTTATGCGCACTCACTGTCACCGCAGGTAGATTGTGTATTGAGGTCACTTCCGCGTCCAAGATAGCTTTCATATCTGAGGAATTGTGCATTGGATGCGGTATTTGTGTTAAGGTATTATTGGAGATGCTGTTTTTGTGTTGTTGTGTTTGCTTTTACTTGGTGAGGGTTTGTGTGATGAGGTGATGTTTGTTTGTTTCTGTAGAAATGTCCTTTTGAAGCTATTCAGATTATTAACTTGCCTAAAGACTTGGACAAGGATACTACTCATAGATATGGTCCTAATACTTTTAAGCTGCATAGGTGAGTTGTTTTGCTGGAGGGATTATGGGGTGTGGGTTTTGTTGTGTTTGTGATTGACTGAGTTGTGGTTGCAGGTTGCCTGTGCCGAGGCCGGGGCAAGTGCTCGGATTGGTTGGGACAAATGGAATTGGGAAGTCCACTGCTCTGAAAGTTTTGGCTGGGAAATTGAAACCGAACTTGGGGAGATTCACTGTAAGAGCTGAAGTT